ATCTCTTCATAAAAAAAAAAAAAAAAAAAAAAAAAAAAAAAAAAAGCCAGACACAGTGGCGCCCACCTGCCAGCTACCCAGGAGGCTGAGGTGGGAGAATGACCTGGACCAGGATTTTAAGGCCAGCTTGAGAAATTGCTCAGAACCACTGCTCAAAAATATTTAAAAGGACTGTATATATTATATACTTAATTGTCAACAATACAAAACCTATGTGATTAAAGTTTAGTCACAAAAACACTATAAACTTTCTCACCTGGGTTAAATGCTGTGGGGAACAAGCTGTTTGTCTACTCAAGGCATTTATTCAGATAGGCAGCTGGCCCACACTCCCCTGCAGATGGTGGTGCCCTGTGGGACTTCCCTGACTTCGCTTTAGAGGGACTGACTAGGTAGGAGGAGCGCCCTTCTCCCCTCTCTTTGTCTTCCAGTCTGTAATTCCATCAGGCCTACAGCTTTGAAGTTACTTGCCAAGGAGAGGGGTAGAAAGAGGGAGAGCCTGGGATCGTACTTTCTTTTGCATAAGAAATAAACTCCCCACATTGTAGATTGTCTCTTAGTTCTGCTGATGGTTTCTTTTGAAGTACAGAAGCTTTCTGGTAAGATGAGATCCCAGTTGTTGATTCTATCTGCTAGTTCCCCTGCTACTGAGGATTTGTTCATAAAGTCTTTTCCTATACCAATGTCTTCCAGAGTTCTGCCTAACTTACCTTCCAGCAAGTTTAATGTTTCTGTTTTAATATTTAGATCTTTAATCCATTTGGATTTTAATTTAGTGCATGGTGAAAAATAAGGGTCTAATTTTAATCTGTGGCAGGCTGACATCCAGTTTTTCCAACACCATTTATTAAAGAGGCTATCTTTCCTCCACTGATGATGGTCAGCTCCTTTGTCAAAGATGAGGTAGCTGAGTACATATAGGTTTGTTTTTGTGTATTCCAGTCTGTTCCACTGATCCTCAGGCCTATTTCTTTGCCAGTACCATGCTGTTTTTATCACAGTGGCTTTGTAGTATAGTTTCAAATTGGGAATTGTTA